CTAAATCTAAGAATCTTAAAGATTTTTGGACTCCAACGCTAAGAATTCCCCAGCCAGCATACTGGCTAGGGAGTTCTGGGAGTTGAAGTCCACACATCTTAAAGTTGCTGAGATTGAGAAACACTGGTCTATACCATTGTAATCTGAGTAAGAGCAAAACAAACAGTGACTGGATTTATATCATGCTAACCTACATTTCTTTTAATCCTGCTTTGTTGACTAAGCCACAGGAGGTTGGGTTCATACAGCACATTGAGTCAAAACCAAACAAATCCCACTCTGGTTTAGTGTTGGCTAGGGAATTCTGGGAGTTGAAGTCCAGACATCTTAAGGTTGCTAAGGTTGAGAAACACTGGAGCAGAAGACCCCAAGGTCCCTTCTCAACCATACCCTCTTTCCAACAGAGGTCTTCCAACAGAGGTCTTTGCAAGAGCCAGTTTGGCCTAGGGGTGAAGCCTCCAGGCCAGAAAGCAGGAGACGGTGAGTTCTAGTCCCGTCTGAGGCAGGAAAGCCGTCTGGGTGACTTTGGGCCAGTCCCTCTCTCTCAGCCCAGCCCACCTCACAGGGTGGTTGTTGTGGGGAAAATAGGAGGAGGAAGGAGGACTAGATTTGTTCGCCGTCTTGAGTTATTTATAAAAATAAGAAAGGGAGGATAAAAAAATCTAAAAAAAAAAACCTTCCCCAAAGGCTTTGAAAGGTTGGTTCTTTTCTGCAGCTTGACTCCCTAGCACCTGACACAGTGAGGTATACTGCTCCTGATGAGGAAGGCTTTGAGGGCAAACAAGTATCTGAAGTTGGGCTGGGCTGGGGTTCTGAGGGCAGATCTGCTCCTGCTGTTTGAAACCTTGGATTCCAGCCTGCACCCTTCATGCACCCAGCACTGTATTTATCCAGACAGGCAGCGGCTCCCAGGGGAATCTTCTCTGTCACGGCCCCACCCTCTGGAACAGCATCCTCTCTCCTAGGGTTCCTGAAAGCTCTGAAAACCAGGCTTTGGCCCCAGGCCTGGGGATAATGTATTGCTGCATTTGGGGGGATTTGGTTTCTTTTGTTTGATTAGAGTCTTTTTTAGACTGTTTTAGTCCAGGCAGCCTAAGTGGTTTTAGGTATTATCTGTTTTCATAGGGTGTTTTTTTTTTTTGGTTTTCTACACCGAGTCCATTGGAGTTGGGCGGTTATAATAAATTTAAATAAATTTCTATCTATCAATCAATCAATCTTTTGCCTGGAGATAACCAGGAACCGAATCTAGAGCCTCTCTCAGTGAGGCAAGTGCCAGTGTTTCTCAGGCAGATAATCTGGGAAGCCCCGAATGGCTCAGGGCAGAAGATCTCAAGGGGTGCCTCTGAGCACCCCAACAAGCTGAAGGGAGGTGGACGGCCACAAGGGGCTGGTTTCTGTGGTTACGGCCCCGCGTTTTTGAAATGCCCTCCCTTGGGACAACCTGACCACGTCTCCTTGCAAGCTAGACGAAGCCTTTCCTCTTTTTCGAAGCATTTTCAATCTTCATCGCTACGGCTCAATTCATTTTCTGCTCTCGTTCCTCCAGAGATCTTCAGCGTTATATGGATTAAAAATAACAATTCCACGCTGCCCGCGCAGACTCCTGTTTGAGATGGGCGGCTACAGAAACTGAAGTGATAAATACAGAGTGACAGCAGCACAAGCAAAGCCGAGCATCCACCGAGCAAGGGCTTATTATTGTTGTTAGTGTTATTGTTTCCCATAAACAGGAGAGCAGGCGAGGGCTTGCTTCGGCCTAGGCCGGCGTGTCTCAACCCTTTTTCCCCCAGGACCCTTCCCACTTTTAAAAATGGTGGAGGGCGCAAAAGAGCTTTGTTTGCATTTGCACGGGTTATACTGATCAGTGTTTACTCTGTTAAACGTCTGGATCCGTTTCTCAGCCTCAGCCGCTTTAAGACGCGTGGACTTCAGCTCCCAGAATTCCCCACCAGCTGTGCCCCGCCGGCCTCCGTGCCTGGAGCCTTCCATGTCTGCTGGACTACAGTACCCATTATCCCGCGCCTTGGGTCTTACAGACCTAGAGACGATTGGGAGGGGGGGTCTGCTGGGGCTCCCCCGACCCGCTGAGAGGAGGCTCACCCCCTTCCTCTCCCCGCTCAGGGGCCGTGCCTTTGGGCTGACAGCGCCACGTGCCGCCCCGGCGGGGCGCGACACGCGTGTCGGCGTCCACACGTGCGC